TGGAATAAAAATTAGAGTAGTTGAGTAAATAAATACAGAAATATTAGATCACACAATTTAATAGATGATCAAATGCTCTTCGGCTTATCTTTGTTTTATTTGGATCCATCTCCTCATCCTCGTTTAAATCTCTCTATATTGTGTTTACTCTTTTCTCATATGTAGCATGTTTTTTATTTCTATATCTATGTTCTAAAGCTTTGTGATTGTCCTTCATTGCATTTTTAGATTGTGAAGCACCTTATAACTTTGCTGTGAAAAGTTCTTCACAATGAAGTTTATCATCATCATCATAATAGCATTGTCCACATTTCTATAATAAAAAACCTTTTTTCTTATTATTATTTGTGGACCAATCCAGCAGATATGCACGTGATGCACTTGCAGTTTAGCTCCTGTTTTACTGGCATGCACTCCAGCTCCAAGTGTGACAAGTGGCCCCTCTTTGAGACAATGTCCTCTTTGGAGCCAGAAGTGAATAATTGACATCGTCATGATCCCTGTGGAACAATCACTGCTCTGTGGTTGTTGTTGGTTTGTTTTTGTTGACGAGCTCAGAGACCCAGCTTCTCTCTCTCTCTCTGTGTGTGTGTGTGTGTCCTGCAGCTGTGATGCAGGTGGCCCTCACTCCTCTCCTGCTTCTGAAGTTAACTTGTGTGAAAAGTGTGGAAGCGAAGCTCCAGAGGCTTCCTGTGTGACAGGTGGGATCGTTCCCCTCCGGCCGCAGCGGTGACCGTCTGCATGGGAGCGGGGGAGCGAGGACAGCGGACCCGCGGAGGAATGCAGTCCCGCGGCCAGAAATATCAGCCTCCACCGGGCCCCCCCCCCCCGGCTCCACCGTGAATATTCCCCCACATGTCCCGCGCATACGCAGCTCGCTTGTTGTTATTATTTGATATTCCCGATCAGTGCCGCGTGTGTTTCCCTGTGAAAAGAGCCATAAGAAGTTACCCACCTTCTCTGCCCAGTGCGCCCGTCGCTCCGAGCAGCACGGCCCCGACAAACACCAAACTTCTCACCGCCTCCATCTGCCGCGACCCGCCGCCTCTAGTCCATGGTCCGCCGCTGGAAGTTCCCGACGCGGGGCCGCGGTGTCCGGGCTTCTCTTGAGTCCCCAGGTTAAGTTTGGAAGTAGTTTTTCTCGCGGTGCGCTGGAGCTCTTCGTGTCCCAGACTCTCGGACTTCCTCCCTGCGCCTGTCGGTAGTAAAGCGTGACAGCGGGCGGGAGGCGCGCTCCCGTGAAGGCCTGAGCGGGGAGTGGCAGGTTGAGTCCGCCCTCACTTCAGACTCCTTCATCTGCAGCTGAGCTGAGTCTGCAGCTATATTCATTTAATCTGCAGCTATATTCATTTCATCTGCAGCTATATTCATTTAATCTGCAACTAGATTATTTTAATCTGCAACTATATTCATTTCATCTGCAACTATATTCAATTAATCTGCAACTATATTCATTTCATCTGCAACTATATTCTTTTAAACTGCAACTAGATTCATTTAATCTGGAGCTGAGTCTGCAACTAGATCATTTCATCTGCAGCTGAGTTGAACATTCAACTAGTTTCATTTAATCTGAAAACATGACAGAGGATCGTCTTAGCCATTTTCAGACATGACCTGCGGGTAAAGTCAGGAGACTTTACCTTTCACACATGCACAACACAGTTTAAGACTTGTTCAGGACATGAATGTACATATTTAGACATACGACAGTTGGTGGAGGTATGTGCTGTATTGAGTGCCATTCTAGTTTGTGAATTTATCAATTATAAATGTTTCAGAGCATCCAGACCAAATACTTTTACAATATATTCAACATTCACCTCACAACCAGAATTCATCTAACTTTCATCAAAGTGCCTCTTCAGTGAGGCCTCCCATCTGTGATTCTATCAATTATTACTTTGTAAGCAAATACAATAAAACTTAATTATGGATTTTTCAGTTCTACTTTCTTTACCAATGGATTTTTGTGCTTCTTTGATTTTTTATAAATTTCCATGCCAGTCGAGCTTGCAGAGCATCTGCTCCTTTTCTCATGCCCTTCACTTTGTGATCACAAATCAGGAGTTAAAGGAGGAAGAATAACGTCCATTCATCCAAATCTATCCAGTCTCCCCACCCAGCAGCCGGGGTCAGAGTCCAACGTAGTGCACCGAGTTATCAGGAAACAACAAAAAGCTACTGAGCCAGACAGAACGCAAGTCCCAGAAGAGGGTTAGTGGTTCTGCTGGTGTCTAAATGTTTGATTCCCACAAAACTAAGACCAGTTGAGTGCCACTGTGGCCTTGTTTGGGAAGCATAATTAATGGATATTTCTTTGGGGACTTCATGGGTTGAAAAGTGAGGAGGCTGGTGAGTGGGTGAGAGATACTGTGTAAAAGTCATAGAGCCCAATGACTACACATACTGAATAAATGTGTAAGAGGCTTGTTTTTTAAATGTGCAGTATCATCTGACAGTTTGACTTAAAGGTACAGTGTGTAGAATTTAGTGGCATCTAGTGGTGAAATTGCATGTTGCAGCTGAATCCCCCTCCCCACGCCCTCCCCTTCCAAACACGAAGTCGAACCTGTGGAAACCTTCAGCTGTCATAAAAACTCAAAAGGTTTAGTTTGTCCAGTCTGGGCTACTGTAAAAAACATGGCGGCCTCCGTAGAGATGACCCACTCCTGATATAAATATCAAGTTTTTAAAGCCCTCGACCGACCAATCACAATTCAGTCTCAGCTGTCGATCATTACGTTTTACTCTGTTTTTATTGCATCAAATCACTAATCAAAGCCAAACTTAGCAAACAAATTAATCAGTGTGATAAGAGCTACCTGCAATTACAGAACATATCATTAAAATGTGTTTATCTGGTATTTTGTCTTTATCTTTTGCCCATGTTCCATCCATAAACATGGAGAAGGTGTAATGTATGATCAATACTGCAGGCGGCCACCAGGTGGTGATCAAGACGCTTTGGCTGTCAGGCAGTTGTTTGGGGCACCAAGCTGAGAGGGGGGCCCCCCTGAGAACAGCTGGTTATGTTCGTCCACAGTGAAAACCCCCTCACAGTCCACGATCCTCTGGCCTGGAGACCGCAACACCATGGTTGGAAACCCCCCCAACAAGACCCTGTGCCACAACTTTCTGCTAAAAGATTAGTACTAGTACTATTAGTACTTTGAGAGTCTACATTATGTGTAAATGAGATCGTGGGTGTTGCACTTCAACTTGAAATTGAAGACGAATCACATCATCATAACCAGCGTCCTCATGTAAGGAAAATACACACAGGAGAGTCCAATTCCTTCACAACAAACACTTTTATTTGTCCGACTTTTTGTCTTTTTGGTCAAATAATCAGTGTGAGGAGGAAAGTTCACTCAGGAGGACAGGTGGTGGGGCACAGGGCAGCAGGCAGCAGATGAGTGGGGGAAGAGAAGGGACGTGCTGATGAGTCGGGAAGAAGAAAGAACAATGAATTGTACAGAGCAAAAAGTTTGTTTGATGCCAATTCCGCCTGAAAGAGATCGATATTTATTCAACGAGTTGTTTTCTCAAACAGTAGACAAAGTATTTGCAGTTTTGAATAGATTGTGATTTTAGAATTTTTATGAAAATGAGATTTTGCTCAAATGGGCTTTTCTTGTTTTTGCTTTTACAGTGTTTATTGTCTCATCTGGGTCTTAGACACCATTTCACAAAGGTCCAATAAACATGAACCAATTATATACACTTTTGCCAATTTGACCTATTTAGTGTTTCTTGTCTCCTAAGGCTGAAAACCTTTTCGCCACCAGGACCAGTGACGACCTCTCCATGTCTTTTGTCCTCTGTCTTCCCCCACCCCCCTCACAGGCTGTCAGCAAAGCTAAATTTACCCATCGTCTCACACACACACATTCACACAGCAAATTTCCAACACACACACACACACTTACACATCAGTACTATTACAAAAGGGTCGAGCACAATCTAGCTCGCTCCCTCTCTCAAACACAGACACACACACACACACACAGAATCAGTGTATCATGGCAAAAACAACACAATGTCCAGTCAAGGCAACATGTACACACATTGTGGTCATTGTTGGCATTCTCACACAGGAATACAAAGGTAGAGGCAGTATTTCAAACAAAAAAACACATGTGCAGTACACACACAACCCCATAAAGTGCACATATGGAGGGGAAACTCTGAGGGGTGAAGATGAACATGGTGGGAACTCAAGAGTTTTGCTGAGAAGGACAAAAAAAACTGATTTTATACCAACATGCTCTTTGACAAGCAGTTGTGATGTAAGGCATGGAGGGACGTGGAGTGTTTCACATGAGGGGGCAGTTTTCTGTGAAGCAGCCAGTTGTGTGTGTGTCGTTCTGGGGATATACTGCAGCGGGAAATGCAACCAAATCAAAAATAATGGACGTCAAACACATGAACACTCTTTCTCGCTCACACACACACACGTGCATGCACACACACACCTCCAGACTTTATTAGGAAAAAT